GAGAAAGGGAAACGCAGCCACACAAGGGAGAATCCACAAACACCTTCTGAATTGAAGTACCCCCACCAGCCACTGCTCCAAAAGCTATCCTCTTGGATAAGCTGTTATTTGCAACAGGCTGTTTTTGTTCCAATAACTGACAGAAAGGACAGATTGAAAACTAAACGAATAGCCTATCGAACAATCTCCAGATCTTTATAAGCAGGTCTAAAACAGCAACAGAGTGGTCAATGCCTGGAATGCACTATCTGACTCTGTTGTTACATCCCCAAACCCCCATAACTTTAACCTTAGACTCTCTACCGTGGACCTCACCCCATTCCTAAGAGGTCTGTAAGGAGGCGGGCATAAGCACATCCCTGTCCTACTGTCCCCATTTATTTGTCCCCATTTCCTGTGTTCTTATTCATATTTATTCTTATTCCTGTTATCTTGTACATGAGTGACAAACTAAATAAATAAAATAAATAAATTAAATAACTTAAATAAATAAAATAAAATAAATAAAAAGAAACAGCCGGCGAGGGACCAAATGGGTGACTTTTCTTAATCCCGCCATTTCTCCCTTTTCTCCAGCCTAGGTTGCGTGCCACTTCTTCCCTTCCATTATATATCCTATCCGATCCCCCACCCCTGCCTTATTCCAGTTTTCCTTCTCCTCTCCCTCCTCCTCCCTCCCTGGGTCCCATCCCTATTTACGTACGTGCAGTCCTGGTTATAGGAAAAGCAGGTGAGGGCCTCCCGCTCCCCTTCCCCGCCGGCGGCCTCCATAAGCAGCGACAGCCCTGAATCCTCGGCCTCGATTTCACCCGGGTCAAGCGCGGAGCTCAGGATCTCCCGCCGGCCTCCCTCCCTCCCTCCCTCCCACTCGCTTGTCACCGTTCCCGGCGCCGGATCGGCAACAGAAGAAACAAGTCACCTAACCACGGCCGGTCGGAAAGGCGGGGGCCTTTCGACCTGCCCGCGGTTCGCTATTGGGCGAGGCTGTTCGAACTCGCCACCTCGGCCTCGCCGCCGCCAACCGGATTCAAGCTTTGGACCGCACTCGGGAGGCGAAGCTCCCAAGCCCCGCCCACGACGCCAACAGGGCCGGCGGTGGTTGGACGAGGAGGTGGAAACAGCTGACAGTGGCCACGTGGTTTTGTTATGGTTGCATCAGACTGGAGCCGGGACAAGAGTGGGCGGCAGGTGGGCCCGGAAGGGCTGAGGTGGCAGCCGGTCGTTCTGACTGGAGCTCTGCGCTTGGAGCCTGATCTACGCCGGAGTACAAGACGGAGCAATCGCCTCTTCCAGACGCACGTCACGCTTGGGACGATATTGTGGGTGTGCATTTCTTTACTCCACTAAGAGCTTTGTGCTGAATAAAACATGAGACTTAGACTTAAAATAACTTCATTGTCACTTTGAACGTACACTAATCGGCGTACATTAAAATAAAATTTCTGTTGTATACAGCTCTCAAAGGGTCACCACCTCCAATATACACCACATAAATATGACTTTAAGGGATGTGGTGGCTCAGTGGCTAAGAAGCTGAGCTTGTTGATCAGAAAGGTCGGCAGTTCGGTGGTTTGAATCCCTAATGTCGGGTAACAGAGTGAGCTCCTATTACTTGTCCTAGCTTCTGTCAACTTAGCAGTTCGAAAGCACATAAAAAATTCAAGTACAAAAATAGGAACCACTTTGGTGGGAAGGTAACAGGTTCTGTGGGTTTAATAACGCCGGCCACATGACCAGGGAGACATCTTCAGACAATGCTGGCTCTTTGGCTTTGAAATGGAGGTAAGCACCGCCCCCTAGAGTCAGGAGCGACTAGCACTTATGTGCGAGGGTAACTTTACCTTTAAACTACCTCTAGACAGAGAGACAGACACAAAATTAAATTCACACCCTCAATCACGAAAACTCACTGTGATGAGCCAATTGCTGCACCTCAGCCCAAATTTGACATATATTTCTGGAGGGAAATTGAAGGAAAAGCAGGATATAAATCTAATAATAAGTCAATAAGCCCCTTTTAGGAAATCTATTGGTAGAAGTGTTACATAGTAAGAGATTTAAAAACAATAAAATTCTCATATCCTAAGCTAGTCATAATTGCTATTCCTGCAAGGATTTAAGTCAAAAATAATCAACCACGTAACTGAGTTTCCTCACGTGATAGCAAATATTTCACAAGTCCTGACTGTGATATGTAATTGCCAGATGTGAAAGCATTCCTGATCTGACGTAAACACCCATAATCTAGATTAATGAGGGTTGTGTTGTTGCTGTTATTTATTAATAAGTCTGTGATGTACAAAATCATTAAAGGTTATTTTAAATAACAAATGGTACAGTCATCTTAGGTCCCGAATCTTCTTTATCGCTATATTCATCTTTGTGTAGTTGGAAATTCAGCCTTGTAACTATGTGCAGTCATTAGATTTTATAGTGTATAAGTAATGGTTTAACCACACTTTAAATAAGTTATAATTAGCTCAGTACATACATAAAAATACAAACAAAAATGAGTGCATCTAAAAGATATGCCCGGCTAAAACTAATCAACCATTTCATAATTCTAATGTGCAAGTTAGATTAGTTGCCATAGGGTTCTTTATTCTATTTAAATAGACCATTAACATGTAGAAAAACAACTATAGATAATTGTAAGCACTCATAGTTATTAGAAATAAAAAACAATCTCATGTAGTTCCTGTAAGTTGTAAAATTTATGCAAATCAAAGGGAGGTTACAGTAATTATGCTTTGTATGTAAGACTTTATCTACAATTGCTTCAAATGGGATATAATAATGTATGAAAACTTCAGCAGACTATAACAGATATAGAAGTGTAGAAGTTTCTGTACAATACTGTATCAGTTATTCAGATTAGCACTTATTTGATGTATGTACACACCAGGGGTGGGTTTCAACCGGTTCGCGGCGGTCCCTGCGAACCGGTTGGTCGGCGAACCCGGAAGTAAGTAACTTCCGGGAACGGCGAAGGGCCCATCCGCCTGCCCGCGCTCCTTACCCGGTTTTGACTAGTTCTGCGCTTCCACGCATGCGCAGGACGCATACAGCACCTGCGCGATCCTCCACGAACAGCTGGAGCATCACACAGACGCTAGTACGCATGCATGCACCGCGCGTGTGCACGAGGTCGCCGCCGGCCCCGTTCCAACCGAACCGGTTGGAACGGGGCC